AGCTGCCAGCTTGGCCACCCAGGAGCAGGTGTGCAAGAGAATCAAGGGGGTCCAGTGAGATCCCCGACCCTGAGCCCTGAGCTTACAATGGCCGTCCTGGGTCAGACCAAAGGTCCATCTAGCCCAGTAGCCTGTCTGCCGACAGCGGCCAACCCTAGGGACCCTGGAGGGGATGGACTGAAGACAGTGACCAAGCCATTTGTCTCGTGCCATCCCTCTCCAGCCTTCCACAAACTTTGGGCAGGGACACCACTCCTACCCTCTGGCTAATAGGACTCCATGGACCCAACCTCCATGACTTGATCTTACTTCTCTTTAAACTCTGTTCTAGTTCTAGCCTTCACAGCCTCCTGCAGCAAGGAGTTCCACAGGTTGACTCTTTGCTTTGTGAAGAACAACTTTCTGTTACTAGTTTGAAGCCTGCTACCCATTCCTTTCCTTTGGTGTCCTCTAGTCCTTCTTTATGGGAACTAATGAAGAACTTTTCTGTATGCACCCTCTCCACCCAACTCCTGCTTTTATAGACCTCTATTCTGTCCCCCCTCAGTCTCCTCTTTTCTAAGGTGAAAAGTCCCAGTCTCTTTAGCCTCTCTTCATATGGGATCTGTTCCAAACCCCTGATCATTTTAGTTGCCCTCCCCTCTCCCACCATCTCTCTTCCCCTCTCCCACCTCCTTTTCCCAGTCTCCCCAAGTTTTGTTCAATAAAGAGAGTTTCTATTTTGGAACACGTGTCCTTTATTTTGTACATCAGGAAGGGGGGCTAGGGAGGGGTAAGTGGAAAGAGGTGATGGAGGAATGGGGTACGAGCCCCCGATGGGGAGGACTGGGGTGGCTCTGCGGGCTCCTCGGGGTGGAAGCTCTCCTGCAGCCCCCCAACTGACCCCCCTCCCCGCGGATGGCAACCTGCGGCAAGTGCAGCCGGACTGATGGCCGAGTGCTGTGATGTGCCGAGTGTGGGCACTCAGGGCAATCCAAGCCAGGACTGCTTTGCAAGCGGGGAACCCCTGAGAACTGTCTGTCCGGGGTGGGGGTCGGGTCCCTTTAAGCACAGCCCTCGGCTAGCCTGAGACAGCAGCTCCACGCTCTAAGTCCTCATCTGATGCCCTGCCGGCACTGCTTCCGGCCAGCCTTAACCTCAGTTCAGGGTCCATTCAGTGTGGCCATGCTAGTTCAAATTAGCAAAACGCTAATTTGAACTAGTTTTTAAGTCTAGATGCGCTAATTCGAATTAGCTTAGTTCGAATTAACTAATTCGAACTAAGTTAGTTCGAATTAGTGCTGTAGTGTAGACAGACCCTTAGGGTGCAATTTTAGAATTCCCCGGAGGGGAAGTAAATGAAATGCTCTTGTGGATCTGGAATTCTGGGGATGGAGTTGAGAAGATGAAATCATATATTTAGCTGATTTACAAATTTACAAGTATTCTGTATTAAACACTACAGATTTGATTTTTTAAACAAGATTTCATTTTGCAGCTTTACAAACCACACAGAGTTCACAGTGACAGTCAGGCAAAGATCATAAAAAAAAATGGTCCTGTAGCACCTTACAGACTAACAAAAAAATATAGATAGTATCATGAGCTTTTGTTGGAAGGTAGGTGGAAATGTAGACTGGACAAGGCTAAAAGGTTGATGGTGGGGTGGAATCCCACACAACAGATCCACTTCTTTGACACATTATATTACAATTAAATGATGGCCACATTTCCACCCACCTTCTACCGGAAACCTACCTATCGTTATATTTACCTACATGCCTCTAGCTTCCATCCTGGACACATTACCTGATCAATTGTTTACAGAAAGGCCCTAAGAAAAAACCTGATTTGCTCCAATCCCACATACAGAGACAAACACCTACGGGATCTCTATCAGACATCCTTAAAACTTAAATACACACCCAGAGAAGCAAACAAACAAACAAACAAAAAACAGATTGACAGAGTCAGACGAGTACCCAGGCATCAACTGCTTCAAGATAGGCCCAACAAACAGAACAACAGAACACCACTAGTCATCATGTACAGCCCCCAATTTAAACCCCTCCAGTACATTATTAACAATCTACAGCTATCCTGGAAAACAGTCCCTCACTCTCTCAGATCTGGGGAGACAGGCCAATTTTCGCCTACAGACAAACCCCTAATCTGAAACAAACTCTTTCCAGCAACCACGCATCACAACTCAAACACACTCAGGAACCTTCCCCTGCAATAAACTCCATTGCCAACTCTGTCCACACATGTATACAAGCGACATTATCACAGGACCTAACCAGATAAGCTACCATATCAGAGGCTCATAAAACTGCACATCCTCTAATGTGAACTATGCCATCAAGTGCCAGCAATGTCCCTCTGCTATGTATACTGACCAAATTGGACAGTCTCTATAACAAAGGATTAATGGACACAAATCAGTTATTTGTAATGGTAACACACAGAAACCTGTTGGGGAACATTTTAACTTGCCTGGACACTCACTAATGGATATATAAGTTAAAAAACAACAAATAGTGCTGCAGCACCTTAGAGACTAACAAAAAATGTAGATGGTATCATGAGCTTTCATAGGTACAACATGCTTCTCTGACAGGATAATTTCAGGAACCAATTAGAGAGAGAAACTGCTGAACTGGCCTTCATATACAAATTTAACACCAGCCAAGGACTGAACTAAGATATCTCTTGGATGGGTCTTTATATTCAACACCCAAATGACATCAGAAGCTAAGTATCAGACACTTAAAAGTGCACTAAATATCTTAGTTCAGTCCTTGGCTGGTGTTAAATTTGTATATGAAGGCCAGTTCAGCAGTTTCTCTCTCTAATTGGTTCCTGAAATTATCCTGTCAGAGAAGCATGTTGTACCTATGAAAGCTCATGATACCATCTACATTTTTTGTTAGTCTCTAAGGTGCTGCAGCACTATTTGTTGTTTTTTACCTTTTATATCCATTAGTGAGTGTCCAGGCAAGTTAAAATGTTCTCCAAGTGGTTCCGGGTGGCCTTAAATGCTAGTTAGCATCCAATCTATAGGGATAGCTAAGCGCTATTTCGATGCACTTTTAGGCTGTGTCTACATTGGCAAGATTTTGCGCAAAATCTTGCCGCCTGTCTACACTGGCCGCAAGTATTTGTGCAAGAACACTGACGTTGTAATGTACAAAATACTCTGATGCTCCCGCTCAGGGATAAGCCCTCTTCTGCAAGTATTCTTGTGCAAGAGGCCAGTGTAGACAGGCAACGTTAATTTCTTGCGCAAGAAAGCCCGATGGCTAAAATGGCCATCTGAACTTTCTTGAGCAAGAGAGCATCTACACTGGGCACTGATGCTTTTGCGCAAAAGCACATGCCAGTGTAGACACTCTCTTGCGCAAATACTTTTAACGGAAAAACTTTCAGTTTGGGCAAAATCATGCCAGTGTAGACGCAGCTTTAGTATACAGACACGCTATTTCAAAATAAGCTATTTCAGAAAATAAATTCCGATATAGCTTATTTAGAAATAAGTGTGCAGCGTAAACATACCCTAAGATGCTACAGGATCACTCGTTTTTAAAGCTTTTTTTAAAGTTACCGATTAACACAGCTACCCCTCTGAGACTTTTAAGCAAAGATCATGTCATGATTTGGGGTAATTGCAGTACTTTTTGTGGTGCACTGGAAAACATTGTGGAAAACGTACTCAAATGTACATTCCAGAATAGGCTGAATTACTGTGGTTATCACTTATTGATGGAAACCTTGTTCTTACATGAAACAGGGAGTGGACAAATAATGTTAATGAAACTAAGGTATTTAGGCAGTCCTGACAATTTACTGTTTCCCATCAGGATAAGACATGGCAATTTACTAAGTGAAAGGTGCAATACTACTTGAAGTCACTGGATAGTGCTACTGGAGATGGTCTACGCCTTCTCTACACTAAAAGGAAGATTAGGGCTGCTGCAATCAATCTTCCAGAGTTTGATTTAGCAAGTCTAATTAAGACTTGCTAAATCAAACTCAGAAGACACCCCCTCCCCGGTGTCTGGTAATCCTGATCTTGCAAGGAATAAGGGAAGCCGAATGCTCCCATTGGCCTTCCGCTATAGGGATACCTTTAAACTCATCGTAAGGTAAGCTGACTCCAGCTACATATTCTACATAGCTGTTGTTGCGAGCTTTAAGCCGAACTGTTGGGTCTAGTGTAGACCTGGCTTCAATGTTTAGCAGTTAGAATTTGGGGAAATTCTGATTTTTCAAGTGTGGTGCAGTTCTCTTTAGATGCTAAATAGATTGCCAGTAAAGTCCATTTTGCTTTCTCTGACTAAATTATTTTTCTTAGATTGCAGTTGCTGCTTACAGGTTATCCACATGAAAACAAACAAACACACTAATGGCCAAACTAAATCAAGCCAGGGCCCAAGGCACAACCAACAGGAATTCTGCAATGGCCCCTCCTCCATGCCTGGGCCCTGTATAGGAGTCATGGCCCCTCTTCTTCTTGGGTTGCCAGCAGGTTTCAGAATTAAGACAAATGAGGCAGTCCAAAGCTCTTGGAGCTAATGTTTCAGGCTCTCTGCAAACTTAGACTGGCATCAGTTACAAACAGGTCACAATTTATAGTTTTTCTTTGCATCCATTATGCCTAGAAGCAGGTTTTTTTTTTATGAAAGTTGAGATTCTGATTTTGTGACTCCAGAAGCTGGTTCAAGGAATGGCAAAGCAGAGGCCAGGCAAGGCTGTCTGGTTCCATACACAATCCACCACTCAAATTTGGCCTGACTGACCCTCTGTCATGACAGATGGGTGGCCAAATAAAAATTGAGCAAATGGAATGATGACTTGGCTGGCACATGCGGTTATAGCTGCTCAGAAATCTGCTGACTGTGCATCTGCCTACATTGCCAATAGCTAGAGCAGCTTCTGGGCCTATGACTTTAATTCTGTCCTGATTATGTGGCATCAGTGTATTGAGAAAGAGACAAGTACGTAATAGCAGTATTACTAACTTGAGTACCACCTTTTATTGTCTGCCCGATCAGGATATAGTGAGATCTGTGTCTAAGAGACCCAATCAGAACAGTGCTATATCTCCAATTACCTCGAGATGATGGCGAACAGTATCACAAAGCATTCATCTTACTTTTTGTAGCTGTAATGTTCAAAGAGCTCAGTATAGGGTGTATGGAGGAACTGAAGCTGTAAATCCAGTTTGTTGGTTGGAACAGTAGCCACAGAAAAACTGTGTTGCATCCCTGCAGTGGAAGGGGGGTTATTTAAATGCACCCCCATAAAAAAATCTCCAAGATGTCTTCAAACAGGCAGTACAGGGAATTATGGGTCCAAGAGGATTAATGGCACAAAGTCTAATTATAGAAGTATGCATTTTCCCCCCTTGCAGGCCCCATACTCACCCCTTATCAGAGCTACAGAGTGGATTTCAAGTTTTATTAATACCTCTTCCATCATCTGCTGCAGATGCTCAATCAGATCCAAATTTTGCTTGTAATCCTCCACAACTCTGCCAAATTCACTCAGCTGTTTCTGTAACTCGTTGACTGACTCCAAGAGGACACCAGCTTTACCATCAGGATGATTTATTACACAGCCAGTAACTTTCTTCTCTAAATTATCTATCTTCTTTCTCAGAATCTATTTTGAAAGGTGCACTCTTGTTAACAATTATGACAGAAAGGTCGATAGATGTTTTTAAAAACTGAACAGTAGGGGAAAATTTGCAAACCTCGCTTCATAGCCTGTTATCTAAAAACGACAGCTAAGAACACTATACATTTGGAAAAGCAAAGACAGAAGACTGTACCCTTAAATGGGCACAGACAACTCCTACTGCATTCAATGGGAAATGCACGCATCTCTCTAAAGGTCAATTGAGTTAAACATTTCCAACTTTTTAACTTTAAAAGTAGATGATCTTTCTAGCCATAAAAGGGTCTTATTATTCACTCTTGAATAGAATGACCTAGATGGTATCTGGAAAAAGAACAAAGGAGGAATTTTAGCTTCTAATTCTAACTAAACACAAGTTAATTATATTAAAATAAATTCTGTTCACTTCTACAGTATTAATTTCCAACATACTGGTCAAGAACATGTTGGTAACATCAGAGGAAGTCTGGAGTGATTCCCCTGATTTGAAGAATTAGTAGTACACTAGAATAAATGATGTCAGAAACTGGTGTACACATTATTTGTTGTTATTCATAGATTTTTAAGGCCAAAATCACTTAGTCCAACCTCCTGCTTAATAGAAGCCATTCCATCTCACCCAGTAACATCTACATTGAGCCCATAACTTCTAACATTAGTACCTGCATTTTTTCAGCATACATTTCAACCTGCAGAATCTGCATCTTAAGAACTTTTATATTTCGAGCTTTTTCTGTTTTCTTGGTATAGTTAAATTTCAGGTTGTTGAATTTCTTTTTCAGATCTTTAAATGACTCTCTGAGCTGAAAGAAAATTAGCATATTCTTCAATAAGAAACACTGGAGCACATATTAAAATTTATAAATGCCTGCTAAGACAAACTAACTACATTAGGAATATTCAGAGGATTCTCATGAGGATTAAAAACACTTTGGCACATAAAGCAATCTTTGTAGCCTCTGTTCCTCAACAGGTAAAACTATATACCAATTATTTTTTTCAGCAGTAGAAAAATCTTGCTGAGTAAACATCAAACAATATTACATATAAATCCTTTAAAATATACCAGTAAGTATATGCTTCTAATGGATTTTCTCAAGACAGCAGGTTCCCTATTAGGAATAATCTGTTGTATATATTTCATTCTAGATAAAACAAGCATTACCTAGTATATATGTAACAATCAGAATTTTACTGCAGTTATAAGCAGTGGGTTAGCTATCTAAAAAGGAAAGTAATATTTAAGACCCTAATCCTGTGAAGAACGATATACAGGCTTATACAGACTACACAGTGGGTAGTCTGTCTTCAATGGGACTAATAGTGCGTAAAGATGTACATAAGTGTTTGCAGGATTGAGACATTTCATGTCAGCATTAGAGATTTGGTGAACTATTTCAGCCCCAGAGTTTATTTGCCATAAACATTCAGTTTCAGGGTGACCAGAACAATCTGAGAATTCTGCAAATAACTGTAGCCAAATACAAATCAGAGGGAAAAATTAAATAATTGAAATGCTTTGTTCCAACATTTTCTAAATGACACATTTTGACTTTGTTTCAAAACAATATTTCATTTTGAAATGTAGCTAGATTTGTTTTTAGAAGGATAAAACTTTCCTGGAAAACAAAACAAAATGAAAACAAAAATAAAATAAAATTAATTTGAATCCTAACAAAATGTTTTATACTACCCAAAACACTTTGTTTGTTTGTTTGTTTCAGTGAGAAAACCCAGCAAATTTCACTTTTGGCTAAATCAAAAACAATTATTTTTATTAATGATTGAAATAGGCACAAAATCATGGACAGTGTATTATGCGAACTATTTAATTGGTAAATAGTGCTCATTACCATGACATCTAAATATCTATGTCTGTTATGGATTTATTTAAATATTTATTTTTACTTTGTTTTCAGTATTGCTTTCGGTTCATTTTAAAATGCTCGATCTGTTCTAAAGCATATTTTGTTTGTTTGAATTAGTCATGCCCTCTTTATAACAACTTACCCTATATATTTAATAAGATTAACACACTGAAAGTTTTGTTGAATTCCACTATTTTTCATTAATTTAGTTATTTTTCCTTGCATGTAATATAATCTCAGATTTATTTATGCTAATATGTCTTTCTGAATATTTACTAAACAAACATTTTAGGGGAAAAAATGCTTTTAAGGGATAGATTGCAACAGACATGAGGAAACCATTTCTTTTTATGATATACAATTATAATTTTAATAGAGCTGCTTAAAACTTATTTATTATACCTTTTACGAGACATTGCTAAAATTTAATTTTGAAATAAAAAATTCTAACAATGTATAATTAATAAAAAAATAAAAATGGAAGGACTAAAAGAATTTAATTTTTTTTTGAAGTGAGGGATTCTCTCACCCCAAATTTCATGTACCTTCACATATTAAAGATTTCTGCTTTTTATAAGGTCTTGTACACTATGGCTATATGGAATAAAACATTTTAAAAATATTTTTATCTATACCAAATGATCTAGAGTAGATGTATAAAATTAATGTACCTGTCTTAATGATCTAGGGCTTGATCTGTTCCTAAAAACACTTATCCTGAAGAGTAACTTAATTCACGTGTGTTATATGAGTGGGCTCAGGATCAGGCTCCCAATTTAATGTTTGAGTTTTTGTGTATTTCAGAGTCAGACAGACATATATTCAAAATCCAAAGAGTAATGAATGCTTGTTTTGTAGCTACTCATCCATTATTATTATTATTATTACTTACTAATGTTAATCCACCAATGGACATATTTTTCATTTTCATTTAATCTAGGAGGATAACACTCTCTGCTAGCACATGATACCAGCAATGCACAGACAGATGGCACTGACGCAGTCTGAGAGAAAGGAAGGGAATTCCATCATGAAGTGTGATCTCCAATTAGTTAAGCTATTCATCCCTCCTAATTACAAAGAATAATAAATCTATCATAAAGCACCATGTTAATAAAGGCAGATATATGGACTAACAGTTTGTCTTCAAAATACAGAATCTTAATTTTAAATCTAATTTGGAGGAAGACCCAGGACTGACATATCACTAAGCAAGAGTATATTTTGGGTTTACTTTCATAGTTTATGCCCATAATAATCATTTATAAAGACAGAGGCTCTCTTCATAGCACTATGAGTATGTGAAACAAGATCTCCTTGTTTCTGACAGTTCATGAGTCAAAGGTCAGCAGCTGCTGTCACTCTTCTCTCTCAGCCACAGTGGAAACCAGCTCAAACTCAGGACCATACGTTGCCTCCCATCAACACATGCAAATTACAACTACTGACATCAGCAACTGTGTGTGCTCACTGAGGGCAGTACACAGGTCTGAATCTTCAGCAGCAGAGAAATCTAACCTTATATTGGTTCTTCACCCATTTACTGCAAAAATGCAAAGTTAAATTGCTAAATGAGTTTTACTGCAAAATACCTAAACGAATTAAGACTACTGGTTTAATGGAACTTCATCATTACTTCATCCTTATTCACGCAGATGTTCCTAATTATAGTGTCCTGGGTCTCATGTGGAGAATGATGATGGAAGAGGGGGATGGCTGCTACCTCTTGCTTAGACTTACAACACAAGTACAAAACAAATGCTATAGGCAGAGCAAAAAGCTGCTTTTAAAATGCATTTGTAAACTGCAAAGTTTATGAAAAACATTTTTCATTCATAGCCAAGATTCTTCAGGAGGCACTTCCCTCTCCCCTTTCACTCCCACATATAACCTCCTGCAGTCTGAGTATCAAAATAGGCAAAAGGGTAAGGTAGCTGAAAAGAGATTTTCAAAGGGACAAAGACAAAAGAACAGAAGCAAAGATGGTTAGAAGGCAGGGACAGGAAAAAGTTGCCCTTCCATTTATCATTGGTTATGAGTTTAGAGTCAGGATCTTGTCAAGTAGGCAAGGTGTTGAGAAACTTTCAACTCCCGTCTATATCATGAATTCATGAGCGTGCTTGGTGCCTTTGGGAATGCTCAGCAACTTGTAGGATTGAGCCACAAACATAAAAGTATACCTCCCTATAAATTATAACAAAATGGGGGTTTGGGAAAAGCTGAGGCACAGTTTAAAGTACATTAGCATTCAGAATAACCACAAGGTGGTTTGCAATATTATTCTCAGTTGAAAAAGATTTTTTGTTGCAAAGAAGATCAATTTTAAAAAGAATTAAGTCATTTTTAATTTCACGTCCATTAGCTTAACAGAAGGTTAGACCATGGAGTTACCACAAAGCTAAGTAAGGGTTGCACATAGCTGCACTGTCCTAGAAGGACATCAGTGAGTCACAATTCAGATCCTGGATCCCTTTTCTTTAGGGAAGCCAATACCCAGCACAACTTACTTCCCCCTCTGGACTGGCTCAAATATACTGGCAGATACACTTGGGTAGAGCAGAAGGGTGGGGATGGGAAATAAGGCAAAGCTTCACCTGTATCCTTTCTCTGCCACCTGTGTAGAAAGAAGAGCAATATCCCTGTAGGGGCTGTACTTATGTCCTGTGCATGGAGCAGTAATGCAGGTAGCCCACATATGCAAGTGGCACCTACTTTGGATATTACAAATGCTTACAGGGCATGAGTTTTGGGTTTTGATTTTGCAGTTTTTTTAAAAGTAACAAAAAATAGAAATTTCTTTGTCTGCAAGAATGTTGCCCATTTGATTTTACACATCTGAACACAAATTTGTTTTCTTGCATTTTAAGGAGCTTCAAACCTTTACTCGTAGACCCGAGTCTAAAACAAACAAACGTTACTTCTGATCTGAATACTGCACCATAAGATAACCAATAAGTCCTTGATCCTTAAAATATTTACAGCATGGGCTTTACATACATAATTACACTAAACTTAAATGTAGGCATAAGTGTTTGTAGTAGGGTCTTAAAACTGTTGATCACAAATGGTTTTAAATTTACATTTGAAATTTGGTGTTGCCAATTGGTAAACTGCAAATAACTAGATTGTGTATTGTTTGACAGGCACTATGCTTCCTGACATGTGAAGCGAAATGTATACCGACTCATATGTGATAGATGACAATGGAACTATTTGATACATGTCTACTTGTTGTTACAAATAATATCAGACTTATTACTGATGTTTAATAAATATTTAAAATAATTAATTGCATTATTTTAAAACTTGTAAGCACAAATTCATGAATTTTATCTTCTTGAACTAATTCAGTGCCATCAATTTACTGGGTATCTAGGTAGCTTTAGTTTTAGATGCTTAATGAAAAAAGTGACAAGGGATTACTATTCAAGTACAACTACCTAAGTGTTTGTTCAGGAAACATCATCAGTACTAAGTAATAACGGAAATGGAAACTAATTAAAGACAAAAACATCAAAGGGGCTATTTAGCATTATTTCAGTTATACTAAATACAACATTCAGTTAGGCCATTAGGTGATAAACATTAACCCACTCAGTGGGTTAATGTTCTCTGCTACTTTTATATCTTTTATATCTTAATTTAAAAATATACCATGTAATTATTTTTACAGAGAATTTCCATTATGTTTGAGAACCTAATGGGATGACTATATTTAGCAAAGCAGCTGACATTGATTTCATTTAGGTTTTGGGGACAGAAAGACGTAGAAGTAATTTCCATCTTGCTCGTACTCTCTCTGGGTAATGCAAAGAGTAAGTACATAGAAATATTGCTTTACTTAGCAGGTAGATACATCCGTTCTGCTATTACTGCGATCACTGCAGAATACTAGGAACGTATCAGTGAGACCAGAGCTCCATCTAGTCCAAAATCCCGTTTCTCATCGTGGCTGGTTTTGGATGGAGAGCTGGTTGGTAAATGTATTTTTTCACCTTGCAGATAATCTCCGGAAATATTTTGGCTTAAACTTGAAATATATATTTTGTTCATGGAATGCTGCTGTGATGCTTCAAGCACCCATTCTCCTCTCTAGGATGGGCTCCCTGGTCAGACTACATCCCCCACGATGTACCAAATTATCTCTCCCTACCCTCCCACCCCTCATCCTTTTGGGCAGGGATGGGGAAATTCAGGCCTGGGAGCCAAATGTGGCCCCCAGCTTGCCTGGATCTGGCCTCCACAGGTCTGGAGCACACAAAACCTACTTGCCTGGGCCCCCGTAGGCTCTGGTGTGCAAGGAGAATATGGAGAGTGACTTTCTCCTTCTCAGTCAGGGCTTGTGACATTGCTTCTCACTTGTGTGTGGCCCCGACTGATTTTTCTTTGTCAGTGGCCCCTGGCCCAAAAAAGTTTTCATACCCTGCCTTAGGGAAAAAGGTGGTCCATCCTGGCAGCTGCAGTGTATTATGGGGGGTGAAGTCCAGGTGGGGTGCCTGCCCCATAGAAGAGACTGAGAACATGAGGTGCTCAAACTACAAATATTATGAGACACCACAGTGTTATTTCAGAATCAAAATAGGTACATTCTGTAGGTACATTCTGTTATTCAATGACAGCATTGAAATTTCCCCTGAAAAGTAGATATTTTAAATTTAAAGAAAATCCTGTTTAATCAACCCCCCAATTTTCTGTTGAAAATCAGATGAATGAAAAATTTTAACCAGTCTTTATGAGAAATGTACAATTATGGACTAGCCTATGTACAGGGTAAATTTCTTCCTAATTTTGATTTTTTTCCTCTAATAGTTACCCAAAGAACTGTGTATGCGCTCATCTCCATTAAGTGGCTAACCCATTTTTAAATCCTAACCTTCTTGACCTCCATAACATGTTGTGTCAAAGAGCTATTTCATTGGTTTTAAATAGTACCATGTTCCTGATTGCTGAGAACAGGGTAAATATGAGTGTCCCATTGATCTTTTCTACACCATCATTAGTATGCATACTCTTTTTCCCCTTTAATTCATTTTCAGTTAAAAAATCCTTTCAGTCCATCAAGCTTTTATTCACTTTTGTTGTTATAACTGATTTATGCAATCTCTCTCTATACATATAAAGAATTTTTTCCTGTGGAATGACAGAGTGATGTTATCATATCGCTCTGCGTCCAGAGGAACAAGCCCTGCTCACTCCCATCCTGGTCTTTCCCAGGGCCCATAGCCTAGGCCTCCCCTGCCCTTCCCAGTAGCTGGGGGGGAGGGGGAGCTGAGCCTGTCATGGCTTGAGCCCGGCCCCCCTGATGGCCAGGGGGAAAGCCAGACCTTCCCGGCAGCTGGGAGATGAACCAGGCCCAGCGTAGCCTTGGCTCAGCTCCTCCTGGTGCCTGGGGGAGGGGGGCAAGGGCTGGAGCTGGTTGAGCCAGGACTAGGGTACCTTCAGATCCTCCCGGCAGCAGGGAGAGGGGAAGAACCTTGGCCCAGCCCCTCCTGCGTACGAGGGAAGAGCCTGGCATGGATTTGGCCTGACCCCTCCCAGCATCAACGGGTGAAAGCCAGGACTGGCGCGAATTCGGCCCGACCCCTTCTGATAGCCGGGGGAAGACCCGGGCCCAGTGCAGCCTCAGCTCGGCCCCTCCCAGAAGCAGTGGGGACAAGAGCTGGGGCTGGCTGGGATGGCCTCAGACCCTCCCTGGCAATGGGGATGGAGGGCCAGTGCAGCCTCAGCTCGGCCCCTCCCTGGCAATGGGGATGGAGGAGGAAGAGAAGGGGAAAAGCTGGGGACAGGTGGCCTTGGGCCTGGTCCCTCCCTGGCCAACAGGGGGGTTGGTGAGCATAGCAAGCAGGGGGCATGCCCCCCTAGTAATAGTTTATTGTTAGTAGTAGTAGTATTTGTATTACCATAGTGTTGAGACCACTTAATCATGGAACAGGGCCATATTGTGCTAGGGGCTGTACAAATATAACAACGAGAAGGGCCCCCACCACAAACAGCTTAGAATCTAAGTAGGGTGCCCAGTACAGAGAGAGCATGAAAGTTTTCAAAATAGCTTGTGTGTTATTTTAAAAGAGTTAGTTGTAATATAGCCCTTTTGGAACTGTGAACCTTACATTTATTTTGTTACATGGTTAACAGTGACCTGCCAGGGAAAGATAAATTGATCTTGAGACCTTTTAATTTCTTTGTAGCATATAAAGAAAGCTCAAAAGATTTTTGTTAAAAATAAAAGTAAAAAAAATTAAATTTGCTTTTTACATTAAAAAACAAAATGTGTCAACCTTGGAAGATACTGTGGTTACTGGCAAAATAATGATATTCGGATAGTACAAGAGATAAAGATTGCAAATAGATCAATTGATAGGAAAAGGGGCTAGTCAGACTGATTAACATTTTCCTCCCTTTTTATGTTTTGGTTAAACTTCAGTGCCTACTGAATCATGGGCAGAAATTATGTCCTATTAAAATCTCAACACGGTTGCCATTTAAGGTGTTAAAACAAAATAGCCAAGGTCCCCATATTTCCCCTAAGACTCAGGGAATATCAGAATTGACATTCTGATATTTCTTAAAGTACAAAATTACTAAGTGTGGGGGGGTTTTAACGAATGCCTTCTGGTCTTGTAAAAATCATTTAAAAAAAATCTTTTATGGGTCACATTTAAACCTCTAATTGTAATACTCATAATTCTTTTTAACATGAGGATCAACAGTACAGCTACATGATACAGAAATACTGCATTTGTTTGAGGCTTTCCTTTTGAGATATTTATAAACGCAAATAACTGAACTGAACCAGATCTGGAAAAGAATTGTGCTGAACATCTGAACCTGACAAACTGCAGCTGCTGTATTTGCATTAATGTCAGCATGGTATCTTCATGTAGACTTGAACACAGGGTTGCATTTTAAACACAGGCCATAGATTTTTGCTATTGGTAAGATGAAAATCAGCTCTATTGTTTGTGGGGAACATCTAAGCAGTACCACATATAATAACACGCATATTAGTAATTTAATCTGTTCTTTTCACCAGACCTCGTTTATCTCTTCTCTAGTTGTGCAGTACTGGAAGTTGTGTGACAGTTCCTCCTCATACTTATCTGCTTTGGTTCTCCAGTTAATGCTGTTACACTCAAGTGTAGCAAGCTCCTGCTGTAGAGTCTTTACAGAAACATTAAAGCAGTTCTTTACAAAATAAGAGAGAGAGAAAGCAAACAATGAAATGATGATGAGCTGGATTTGCTGCCTACACAATATAGATACAAATGTCTAACTCATATGACATTGCTTATGGTTTAAAATAGGGAAAATATTTCTGCTTTATCTTACACTTAGTCAATTAAAAATAATGTTATTTCAGAGAAAGGATATTTATCCATGTGAGAATATCATTAACCATTAAGAGTAAGATTAAGGCATGGTTCGTAGCATATAGAAAGAGGGAACGTGTCTGCACCACCCTAGGAACAGTCTAGAACTGGAACTGTGGTTCAGAGTTGCACTTCCTGCCCTGATGTTCCCCTTAATCCAGCAGGAAATAATCTTCTATTGGCACCTGCTACTGTTACCTTACCTCCCCGCATCTGCTGCCTGGCATATTCTGGGGTATGGAAACAGAGCCCAGGTTCTGGCTACTCCACTCTCCTCTGTTTAGGAGAATTAGTGGCCCTTAGACTCTGTTCTCTGCCTCCCGTGTACACCTTGTACCTCCTTTTCTCCCCTCCACAATATATGGGGCAAATGAGAATCTTGCCTGGAAGGAATAATGCTTTCCTAAAACATTATCCATTTCACTAGGAAAATTCACCTCTAGAGGAAAACTAGAATCCTGCAAGAAAATAAAAGAATATGGATGCAAAACTACCTTACAAAATAGGAGTCTAAAACTTATATACTTTATCAGTTGTCAAGCTACAGGACATGACCTGCACATGGAACATTGGGGAGCAGGAAAGCAGATTCCCCTCCCCACAACGTTGACTGTATTTATATAACTGATAATTAACAAACAAATAAAAACCCCAAACTAAAAGACTAAGATTTCTGAATAACTAAACTTATTTTCTCTGTACCAAAATGATTCATAAAGTTAGCGGGACCACGAAAAAGTGAACTCCGTTGTTGAAGATTTCTTTTAGGTTGATGCAAACAAAAAATCTGCAGATGGATCAGATTCATTACATTAAAATGGATTTTTAAAATGTAAGCATGAAAATGTTTAACCATTTTGCTTTAGTTTTTTCCCCGGGGCATTAATGTGTTGTATGCATATCTACACATCAGTACGATAGTGCTAATGTTTCAGGCTATCATATGGAATGCTAAATTTCCTAATATTACTTACAGGATGCTGCACTGCAGAAAGGCTGGCCTTGCCTAGAGTAAGAGCCAGGTTATATAGATGTCTGATATGTGCATGTTTCTCCTGAGTATTAGCAAGATGCACTTTAGCTTGGAGTGCATCATCAGGAATCTTGCTTCTTTCAGGAATCTCCAGTTCTCCTGATTTTATGAGACATTCCAGCTGGAATATGATTGAAATAATTTGTTAAAGAAAGTTATACTATTCCCTTCTTCACCATCAGATGTTAACATAATAATGGGTAGGGAGAGGCCCTAAGCACAGAATCTGTGATTTTGATCTAGAGTTTGAGCTCACCAGATTTCAGAAGATTTCAGATCCACAGTATGAGTTCAGTTCCACAGGTGGGTAGATGTTTTTAATTTTGGGGCAAAACAAAGACGATAGGTGGTACCAGAAACAAAAAGAAATTAATTGCAACAGGAAAAAACATGTATATTTTAAGGATAAATATTATTATGCTTACTTGTTCTTTGACATAATGGAATTTGACTGACTTGTTGACGATTTCATCATATTCTGTCATCCTTTCTTTTATCTTCTGAAGAAGATGAGTAAGCTCACTTATTTTCTCAGAATTTTCTTTAAGAGGAACTCCTTTTAGGCTCAGCAATTCTGATAATTTTACTGTGTATTCAACCTCAGCAGTTAGTTGCTAGCAAATAAACACAATAGTCCAAGTTTTGCAGGAATTAATTTTCTTGTATTATTTCATCAAATGTAAATTAGGGATTAGGAAATTATTTTAGGAAAAAAATAAATGCCATTGTCTTCTCAAGGGGGGGGAGTAGCATTAGCATGGTCCACACTGGCTCTACAGTGCTGTAATTAGTGTTTCTTCACACCCCTAAGCAAGGAAGTTACAGCACTGCAATTTGCTAGAGTAGACAAGCCCCAAGTCCCTGCTTTTTCTCTTCAAAACCCTGCACACCCTACAGAGGGAATTCCTGTTTTACAGGCAATTACCAGCCCTTTCTTATCTGATCACGCAACCTCTGTCTATCAACAAAATACTGACTCTCTGCCCCAGGGACACCTATCTTCCGCAGACCTCACATTCCACACTAATGCCCATGCTGTAGTTAGGGGCTGAACCTGAACTTTTTACAAATAGATCTGAACCAAAACCTCAGATCCATAAGCTCTTACAGTTGAAGTCTGGACCAGATCTGCATTTCAAGCTGTGGACAATCTACTTTTTTGTTCCCCACATTTTCAATTTCCCCTGTACAAATTGATATTAACTCGTTGGACACTAGAGACTTCGCAGGTGAATGTCACTTGAGATCTGTAGTTAAGAGGAGGCAAACCGGTGCTGTGCTTGGAAACCAGGAGGTCTTTTTCATATTATAAGACATGACAGGTGGACGTAAGTCTGCAGAGCATGAATGGGAGACAGACTTTTCTGGGATCAGGAGTTGCAATGTGGAGGAGATAAGAAGCTCATATACATAAACACTCCTCCCCAACCAGCTCTGCAATCCTAAGCATGAGTCTGAGATGTCTTTTTTTTTGCACTTGTGCATTCAAGTAGGTTTTCCGGAGAGAGGGATGACTCAGTGGTTTGAGCATTGGCGTGCTAAATTCAGGGTTGTGAGTTCAGTCTTTGGGGGGGGGAGGGGGGAATTTAGGGATCTGGGGGCAAATCTGTCAGGGATGGTACTTGGTCCTGCTATGAGGGCAGGGGACTGGACTGGATGACCTCGCAGGGTCCCTTCCAATTCTGAGATAGGTATATCTCATATATTTTAATTGCTTTTATTCTCTTCTGTATAGCTAGTCTTTCCTTGTGTATCATTCCTGATGTGCAGCCAATATTGTAGGAGACATTCTGAGGAGTTTGCACATGACAAAAGGCAGGGTGCAACCCTACACAGAATATAAAATGTAAAACCTAATCCCACAAATACTTTTTCCTGTGAACAGTCCCAATGAACTCAATGTAAATGTTACTTTGCAGGATCAGGAATTTGCAAATAACTTTTTTTTTCACTTTGGATTTCCTCCAATCCAATCTGTTTTCTTACCTGAAACTGTTGTTTCATTTGGTTAATTTTTTGTTGTAGTTCTAAAAGAATCTGAAGATTACTCCCAAGGTCAACTGCTGCAGTAGGTCTGAGTGCCTCTTCAAGAACAATTAAGTTATGGGTTGTCTAAAAGAAATAGTGACACAACATATGAGAACATTTTCACTGGCATTACATCATTTAAATTTGACTTAAAAGCTATTTTTGTAATTAAAGTAAAAAATTCACTGAAGTACTGTCAACAGAATTCCATAGAGTGATATTACAGCTATAAAAATGGTTGATAATAAAAGCAATGCAAAGGAAGCTTGTGTGTGTCCTAAATTTGCTTTAAAATTATAGATCTCTCTTTGGTGCAAATCCTCTGATGTTCTGAAGGGGCTCTGGAAGACTTTAAACACAGTGTAGCTGGGGTAAGAGGAGGCTGGAAAAAAGATTCACTTTGTAGCCCATAGAATTTTCTCTGCAAGAGCTTGGAGAGTGGCTTAGCAATAACTAACATAGTGGCCACATAATGGGCTGCAGCCACGTGTGTAGCTGCAGATGTAATGTGCAATCTGCCCCTGGGCCAAAGAAAATCCTTTTCTCATTAACCACTGCACAGCCCATTTACTTTAACTTTGTTCACAGAGATAGGATTTGGTTTACTGGAAGTAGTTAATACAAGCATGGCAGAGAAATAAATTTGTGCTATCTGGCTAGGTAAATTTAAATGCTCTTCTTTTCAGAACAAATACACAAATAGAAAAATGTAATGTGCTTGTAAGAATGCTGTGCACTGTGTAAAGCTGTG